GTGACAGAATTTTTTCTTTGTAATTTTATAAACAAAGAGGATATTAATAACTGTAGTGATAAGATGTCTGAGTCATCACTCAATCCAGATGCCATTCAACTATAATATCACAACTATCCTGCACTGTATGAACCCTTTGAACCTTTTAAATTAGCCTGGATAAATTTCTGCCCTCCCAAAAGGATTTCCTATTGTAAACATATGCCTGAGCACAAACTCAACATGTTCAAAATCTCTTTCTCCAGTTCAGTTTCACAAAAGATATAAGGGGAAAATAACCCTAAAGGTGCTTCTCTCCCATCTTTAATGCCTATTCCTGTCCTCCTCTTTCATAATAAAAGAGAGAGCCCTGCAAAATATGCATTGGTTCTATTCAAACCACAAATGTTTATTACTTCTTGAGTCATCAATAAAACACTACTGTCAGATTTTCTTTCTCCAAAACATAGTTTTAAAATTACATTTTAACTTGTACAACAGTGAGTATAAAAACAGCTCAGATTATATGTATTGAAGTATGCGCCACAGAGCTGTACTTTAACTGAAGCACTATGAATTGCAAATACATTCTTTCATAGTATCCTGAATATGGGCTTAATCCTACTTCTATTGAAGTCAGTTGAAAAATTGCCATTGATTTCAGTGAGACCAGAATTTCTATCTACCTCAATGAAAGAAAGATCAGTGTAGTTTGTTTGTTTGTTTCCATCAGATAAAACCAGCAAATCTATCACATGAAATGACAGTTACTTGCTTAAAATGTTTAACACGCATCTTGTAGGACAGCCTTATAGCCTCATTGTAGTACCAACTCATTTAATTTGAAAAAACGTAAAAACAAATAGTTCAGTTTCTGATGTTATTCTCCTTTTCTTATGCAGATGTCAGGAGTTGTAAGGAACAAAAGAAGCAATCACAGAGAAAATTTTTACTTTATTAGTATCAAATGAGAGTTATTCAACTAAGATGTGCAAGATAAACTCACTTAGAACTCCTTGGCTAGATGGATTGAGTTTTAGTAGTACATAAAGAATAGCTAAAAAGAATATTGATAGCTATGATACAGGGTAAATCTGCACTATAGGGGCAGCTATACCACTGAAGCATGTCTGATGAAGATGCACTATGCAGACAGGAGAGAGTTCTCCTATCAGCATAATTACTCTACCTTGGTGACAAGTGCAAACTATGTTGGTGGGACAGCGTCTTCTGTTGACATAGTGATGGTGTGGACAGCACGAAATTAGCATCATTTGGGGGGGGACTTTTTCACACCCCCGAGTGACATAAATTAGATTGATGTATAGACCTGCCCACAGCTCCATAGGAATTGGGGAGGGGAAAGGAGGTATTTTCAGAGCTATAAAAGCCTTTGATTACCAAAAAAAAGAGGAAAACAACAAAACCTTTATTTGTAGGAATGCACTTTTGTTTTTACACATCTTTGTAGGTGGCAAAAACAGACTTTATATCATTATTTATATGCTCTTAACTGAAGTAGTCTGCAGCAGGACTGTAAGCTAATTAGAACTTGACACAGTGAACTACTCTTATGCTAACTGTCTAAATGAAGTGCATGGCAGATTCAGAAAACAAGAAGCAATCTCTTCTAAATGGAATGACATGTATGAGAAATGTTGATGTTATGGTTTGAACATGTTTTTCTATAGTAATACTGTGTTCTAAGAATTTTCTCTTAAAAAAAAAGCACTCTGAGAGTCTGATGTTTGTGAAGCAGAAAATATTCTAGCGAGTTATATTGTATCCAATCTATTTTCTAACACATTCACCCAAATAAAAATACAACCATCTGTTGTGCAGAATTGTTTGAAGAGTAAATAATTCTTCAGAACACTTTATTTCACCACATTCCACTCAACTGCTAGTGGAGAAACCTGAACACTAGTTGGGAGCTTCAGTCTGCAAATATCATCTGTATGTCAGAAGCTTCCCTTCCCCCATCTAAACTTCTCTTTAAATTACATTCAGATTTTTGTGGTACCATAATAACTACAATATGGGATGTATTTCAATAGTTTGGTAAAGGCTTCTTTTTAGATTTCCAACCCATTATTTCAGGTTTACATTTTTTCATCACAGCCTCTCTGCAGGATTCACATCTTAACAATATTTATATGTGAGGTCTTGCATCTTTACATAGAATATTGTGAAGTACTATATCAAAACCACATTGAGAGGAATATTAAAGTGGTATCTTATTTTAAGAGAAGCAGCAGAGTTTCCCATGTTGTACCAGAAAATGTGTCAAAGTAATACAATAATATAGGTCATAATGGAACAATAAAAGCGAGCCATGCAAAACCAGAAAGTTTGCACTTTCAGAAGGCTCAAATTAACTTTCTGTTGATTTAGTTCATATAAATTTATACACCTGACTTTTGCACTTTGAGATTCAGGTTTCAGTAAGCCCAAATGTCCACTGTTTCATTTTTCCTGGTTTTCAGTAAAAAACACATGAAACACCAAGTTTCACTTGTTTTCTAGTTGAAACTATGATATTTCTAAATTCATAGAACTTTAGCCCAACCTTCCTAAATGGCTACTGATCAGCTTAAAATGTTGGATATGTACTGAAACCTGATCCAGTTTACATTGAAATAGTTCAGCACAACTTATTATAACATGATTGTGAATGATGAGAATGCAAGTGAATATTAAAATGGAATTTTAGATACTGCTTTTGTTTAGTTTTCCATTCTTCAATAGTTTTTCATTAAACTTATTTCCTCATTCAGTTCTGATAGGGGTTGTACAATACTGTGCAAATTTCAAAAATAAATGTGTATCAAACTTCTCTTCAAAGTGTAGGTTAGCTTTCTTAATGAAAACATGCTTCTCTAGTGCATGGTCTGTATATTTACACACAACCATAGTACATTCATGCAACTATACACATTGAACAAGTAAGCGAGGTGCTGAGTCTGATAAAGGGCAGGAGATGGGGTGAGGGGCTGCCAGACTGGTGCTGAGCCAGGGGATGGGACTGGTGGCAGCCAGAGCCCATATGCAGCATATGGCTGCCAGGGGCACCATGACATTTAGGTCAATCTGGTGGCCCAAATTTTGTGGTGTTCTACATGACTGAGTATTTTGTATATGGGAGGAATGGCCCAGCCTGCTGAGGTGAATAAGGAGAGGGGGATGGAAAAATTAAAGAAATGGATGGACTATCATTTGAGAATTGGACTTAGCCACATGCAGTGTTGCAACATGCTCACTATTGCAACATTGTGAGCCAGGGCATGAGAGGTGAGGGGCACTTCACATGCTGGTTGTCCTGCAAACAGGCAGCTGCTGTTGACTGGAAATCAACCAATGGGACTTAGGAGAGGGTGGGAGCAGTGTGAGAAGCCTCTGCCCCCTCCCTCAGGCTCTCAGCATTCACAGAAGCACATGGCCACACAGCAGCTGGCTTCACTGAGTGCCAAACGGAGACGGGGCAAGCGGAGAGCGGTTGAGACGCTCGCAGGCTGGATCCAGTGGTTTTTTGTCCAGCCCCATTTGATACATTCGATACCACTGGGGCGGCTACAGATCTGAGCTCTCCTTGTGCCGCCATGAGATAGTGACTACTCCTGGATGAGCAGCACAGACCCGTGCGTTCACCAGGTGTTTCCATTTGGTTCCCTGCTCACATGAGCTTATCTCCCTGAGGCAGTGGCAGGGCCTACCTGGGGGACCCAAACCTGGCCTGGTAGGTGCTCCTTCTGCCTCAGCTACCTCCCCCCGATCGGGCCTCGCTGCCTGTTAACTTTTGCTCTGAGTGCTGCGCAGCTTTGGAGCTGCGGTTGCTCGGGAGTGGGCACCCAGGATGGGAGGGCTGAAATCCAAGCCCTGTTCTACCCCTCACCCCCCGGCCCAGCTCTGTGCCCCATTTTGAAGCCTGAAAAGGCCAGAGCGCCCCAAGCGGGTCCCCAGGGCACAGGGTGGTACTGTTGCATGGAGCAGGTGGACCATGGTGGGGATGTGTCCGCACCCTTCACGCACCCCTGCTTATGGCCCTGGCATTGCTTTCAGGGGGGCGGTAATGCCAACGCCAGTGTTTCTTAAACTTTTTAAGACCGAGGAGCACCAATTTTTTATTCCTGACGAACACCAAAGATTTTTGGTTGAGAAAAATAAAAAGTCCCGGGGAGTCGGGGGGGAAGTTATTGAGGGGGGGAAGGAAAAAAAAGCATCGCCTGCCCCTTTAAGGATAGCCATTTTGAATTCTGTTGTTCTCCGCGGCACACCTCCGACTGCTTCGCAGCACACTGGTGTGCCATGGACCACAGTTTAAGAAACATTGGCCGACGCTGTGCCTTATCTGGAGGAGATCAGAGCATCTAGCCCAGCAGAACAGAGTGGTGGGGAGCCCCACAGAGCAAGGAGTGGCGTCTCAGTGGCTAATCAGCACACCAAGTAACAATCCCAACGGCTCTTCTTTGGCTGCACCCCAACACATATCCATATTTCTTTATCGTTTTAATATATACATTTCACAAAGATATTAAATCACCAGTGCATCATTAACTTTCAGATAAAACTTTACCTGATACCCTCATAACATCAGTTGATTCAATTACTTATTTGAAATTCAGACCTATTACAACTCATTCAAAAGACAACAAACTTCAAAACTATTATCACAATTGCTACCGGCATTTAAATAGATGTATGCACAGTGATATTAGACATATGAAGTATTTCCATTTGGTTTGACAAGCAAGGGCTAGTTAACTTGAAAGTTATTTACTAGCACACAAGCCTTGAAGATGTACAGATCAGTCTTCACAGTAATTGCTAAAAAAGCAGACTGAACCAAAGCTTACAACAGTCCTTCTAGATAATTTTTTTCAATATAGTATAATGGGAAGGGAAATATTACACTGAATTAAAAGAAATGGCCATTTACAGAACACATTGGGAAAACTAAGTATGAACTGATCAATTAACTCTTCCACATACCCAGATTTTCAGTAAATGTCACAGATCCTTACCAGCTCTTGGGTATCTTGCATTAATGGCAAAAAGGTAGCTTCCAGAATAGCAACTTGGTCAGTACTGAGTTTCTGCCACAAACTAATCAGCATAATCACCAACTGGGTGGCACTTTTCAACTTTGTGAATGCCTGGAACATATTGGCTTGGTTTTCCTCTGCTGCATCTGCTAGAGCTATTATCTGCAAAAATCACAAACTTGTGTTAGACATAATTTTACTATTCCTAACGATCTACACTAAAATTACTTTTGGCACATTCTTGTTTTTCTTTAGAAGACGATGAATTTTGTCTTCTATAAACACACCTCAGAGAAAGTATTAAATAAGTTATCATTTGTCAAGGTAATTTAAAATCCATGTGGCAGTGGGATTAATCAATAAATTCAGTCAGCGTAAAGAGGATTCTGTTTAATGTATATTCTACAATAAGAAACTCCCCAGGTTGATTCCCATGATCAAATGTAATATAATAGTTCCTAACAAACTGTAAACATTGAGGATCATACCACACATGATGTTAACCACTGTTTGACCAACATCCTTTTAGGACTCTCAATCAAAAGTAATACATTTATTTTATTTATTTGAAAATTGTAATTTAACATGTTAATTATTCTACATGGAAAATATTGCCACATTTTTATTTTATTAGGTGGGGTTCTATTCATATTGTGGGATAGTTCAACATTATAGCATTAATGTAGATGCTCTGGCATATGATTGGTTAGGTGACATCATTTTTAACACCAGTGTAAAATACTGGACTATACAGACCCTGAAAAGAAAATTCAGGGTATGCTCGCTATAAATACCAGCTCCTTTTCCAGTAAGTTGCCATGATATTTTTATCTTCTTCAGTACTTAGTGGAGAAAAAAACCTAGAAATAGAACTTGAAAGGAAAACTTGAAACTACTAAATAGAATTTTACTAGTATTAGATGTGTTTTGTCATTACAGACACTTTCTACAAATGTTTGCATGGCATTACTCTGCAGCCATCAAATCACAACTGCCAGCCAACCACAGAAAGATGGCAAAATGCCAATGTAGCATTATGTCCAGGTTAAAAAAAGAAAACCCTACATGCTCACCCATCACTGAAGATTAACCATGAGCCAAAAACTACATATGAGCTGGGAGGTCTCAGCAGGTCCCTCAAGAACTGGACATTAATTTTAATTCACATTCACTTGTTTCCCCCTCATCACTGAATCTGCATTTTGCTCTGTTTTCACTCCAATTTCACTTTTACTCAGTTTTCAAGTTGCTACTATTCCCAGAACCTTAATGGAAGTTCTGCCTCCAGCCTCTGAAAGAGGAATGCCTGTGCATAATCCTCTACACGGATGACTAGTTTATCTATCCCACATCCCGTCAGACCCTTCTCACTCACCATCACTTTCTGTTCACTCTCTCTCAAACCTTAATGTCTGGGTGGCACACCAAGAAATGCCCAATATTTCCTTCATGAAGAAAAGATTTAATTAATATAATTTCTTATTGCAAAAGTACAAAGCAAACTTAGGTCCAGCGTCAGCACTCACTGTTGAGTCTCCACTACCTATTATTTTACACATGCCATATACAGAGACACGCACACACATACACGCAGAGATTATAGCCATGAGATAAATGCAGCATTATTTAAGAGCCTGCATTTGTTATTCAAATTTGATCACTTCACCCACAAATCTAGAGGTGCTTTGTTGTTGGTTTTGGGTTTTTTTGTTTTGGTTTGGTGGGTTTGTGGATTTTTTGTTTGTTTGTTTTTTGAGAGGACAACTCTAGGCAATTGTTCTTGGCCTCAAAAACCCTCTCATGGGGGCACTAATGGGGTCTGTTTCTTCACTGTTCCTGTTCAAATGTTTTTGTGATGGGTGCAAGGGAAAATGAGGAAAAATTAACTGAGACATATTTTCTATGACACCCAACACAATGCCACTATGTATAATACCTTACCAGTGAGGTGTACTTAATAACTTGGGAGTCTGTATGAGTTTGGGGCTTGGACAAGGGTTATGACTTAAGAAAAATTAGATGCAACTAATGTTGGTGAGCTGGAGGAAGCCCCTGGAAGAGATGACAAATTCATTAACGCCCAAAATTGAGTATGTAAAACAATTATTTGTTACCAGTACACAATATGGACACTCTATTAGATCCCAAATAGTTGTCCATGGATGCCTAGATGGTAGCCATGGCAAGATCAGTTTCTTTATTTGAACTTAATAAACAGAGTGGGATTTTTTCCCTCTCTGATATGGATCTATTGCTTTGTCTTCAAAACTATCCTTCAAGATTACCACTACTGTAAGGAGTTACATTTTGAGACCACTTGAAAACTAAAGCTAGTGCAAAATTAAGCATCCTGCTTACTAAGTGGAGTTTTGGACTAGTACATCAGGATAGGTATCAACATTAATACAGTTCTATTTGAAAAATCAAGGTGCTAGTTTAAACTTGTAGTGCTCTAAGGGTACGTCTAAACTACATGGCTCCGTCGACGGAGCTATGTAGATTTGTTGTTTTGGCAAAGGCAAATGAAGCCGCGATTTAAATGATCGCGGCTTCATTTAAATTTACATGGCTGCCGCGCTGAGCCAACAAACAGCTGATCGGCTGTTTGTCTGCTCAGCACGCTAGTCTGGACGCTCCTCTGTCGACATCAAAGCCCTCTGTCGACCACCCCGTTATTCCTCGTGGGATGAGGTTTACCGGGGCAGTCGACAAAGGGCTTTGATATCGACTGCGCATCCAGACTAGCGCGCTGAGCGGACAAACAGCTGATCAGCTGTTTGTCGGCTCAGTGCGGCAGCCATGTAAATTTAAATGAAGCCACGATCATTTAAATCGCGGCTTCATTTGACTTTGCCTATGTGTCTAATCTACATGCCTCTGACGACAGAGGCATGTAGTCTAGACACAGCCTAACTGTTTTAGAAGCTGTTTATCTGAATTACAGCTTTACACTCTGCCCTACATGAGATCACCTGATTCATCTGAGTTTGAGCCATTCAGAAGAAAGGAAAAGGAGCTGTTGGCTTGGTGCTGTACATGAGGGATGCTCCACTTTGGAATCTTCTCTAAAATTTCTCTACAATAATCAACATTTGTTAAGCTTTTGGACAGACAGCCAGGTTCTTTTTTTCCCCCAGGATTTGAGAAGTGGGATGAGTTGGGATTTGGACAAGTTGATTACTACAGCTGACAGAGAAAAGATCTTGTTTGATGTTTTACTGTGAATGATGTAAGGCAGTCTCTTCTGAAATAATTGTGAAAGTTATGTCCAAAGCAAGGAACGCACATATTATGTTTTTAAAAAATTAAATAAATATCTAAAATAGAAAACAGTAAATGAATACTTGAATAAATCCTCCTCCCTGGAGCTACTTTTAACATGTCAAATCTCAGACTAGTTTTAAGACGGAGTTTAAAAAAAAAAATCAACTTGCCACAAGAATGTTTTCTTCTTTGTCCCCAAATTAATCTGTTGTGAGATGCAAAACCACATTGCATATTATGTATCAGTGAAAGGCTTGCATTCCAAGGGAGTCATGGTGGTCCTATGGTGCTACAACCCTCAAAAAGATGTCAGGGAAATCTTTATACCACACCATCATGTATTATACATATACACCCAGCATTTATAGAGAAACCAAAAGAAAAAAAACAACTTTTATGTCTAAATTCTTTTGCTTATAGAGGAGAAACTGCAAGCATTTATCTTCATGAGACCTGAAACATCTGGGATTATAAAGATTTTATTATCATAAAATAATATACATTGGCAATTTCAGTTTCAAAAGACAATCTCTATCATTTGATAGGACAATGGTTACAAGAAGAATCCTCCTTGAGGTCTGTTCTGAATGAAATGTCTTAGTAATATAGAAAGCAGCAGGGACAGCCTCCATAATCTTTGCAATGCAATTTTCATTCAGATCCACACATGGTTCCACTCTCAATGTACAGTGTTAAAAAATAAATATTTTCTTACAGAGTAAAATTTCTTTGAACAATTCCTAAGACATCAGCTAAATATTTTTAAAGGTCTTCTGAGAAGCTTCATAGAGACCCTTAGGAAATCTGTGAAAGTACAGGTTCTTAGAACTTTCTCCAAAGTCTCACAGTACTTTCGACATTTTAATATTTCCTCTTTATCTGGGCATTACCTCTAAGAATCATTTTTTATAATGAGGGGGAAAAATAGAATCTTTGTTTTTGCAAACTGAGATTCGACAGCTTCTCTAGCTTCTATTATGGTTTCACTAATTTCTAAACTATCTTCCAGTTTATCAATTTTTCCATCTTTTCATTGTTGCAGATAATGTTTTATCTCCTGTATAAAAGTACATAAAGTAACAAAGCAGGAAACTGCTCCTTCACTTGCATTAGAGGCCTCTCTACATCCCCTAGTTCTTCATGATTGCAAACAAGCTTTAGTGGCATTAAGGGAGAGTATGGCTGATATGGCTGTAAAATATGAATTTGATGAGACCAGATAGTCTCTAGAAAAGAATCCAGCAATCAAACACATCACCTATAATTGGATCCTTGTTTCTTGGCAACAAAAAGGCTTTACCCAAATGATAACCAAAAAAATAGGCTTCACACTCAACTTAGTAGAAGAGAGGGAAATGGCTGGCAAATCAAAGATCTTTGCATCACTCTTCACAGCTGAAGATACGAAGGAGATTCCCAAAACCTGAGTCATTCTTTTTGAGTGACAAATCTGAGGAATTGTCCCAGACTGAGGAGGTTTTGGAACAAATTAAACAGGACCAGACAGCATTAAACCCGAGAGATATGGAGGAACACAAATGTGAAACTGTAGAACTAATAACTATAGTCTGCAACCTATTATTAGGATAGCTAATGTGACATTAATTTTTTAAAAGGGTTCCAGAAGTGGTCCTGGCAGTGTCAGGCCAGCAAGCCTGACTTCAGTACTGGGAATATACTAGTGTGGTGGGGTGCCCAACCCCGCACAGTTCGGCACTGGAGTCGAGCCTTTACACTCACAGGCCCTGAAGCCTAGTCCATTACATCCGCAGGCCCTGAGGCATAGTCCACTACACTCACAGATCCTGAGGCCTCGTTCATTACACTCGCAAGCTCGGAGGCCTAGTCCATGCTCCGGGAGAATAGGGTAGGGGGGCCCGGCCCTCCCTCTCCACCAG